GGTAGGTTAGGTGCATGAAGTTACTACAGTATTACTTATCTATTTTCATTGAGGGAACTACACTATATAAATACAGTAGGTTATGGTAAATGCATGGATTAATATTTTGAAAATTATTTTAAAAAGCCAATGTTTGTTTAGATTTATAAAATTATTTTTATAAATTTTTATTTTTGTATTTGCTACACATTATTAACATGGACAATTTGAATAGTAAGTAAAATATTTAAAAATTAATAATGTAAATAAAAAATATTTTTAAAATAGTAATGAAATTAAAATTAGGTTTAATTATAAAAACTAATACCTTTAAAATCATTATCACATAATAGAGAGAAAATAAAACTTTCTATTTTAATATACAGTTTACAAAAATTAATTATTAACAGTAGTTTTTAAAAAATTCAAACTGTAAAATTATTATTTTAAAAACTTTTTATAATTAATCAATCAAATATATATTTTAATGGATTTGTTATCGAAAATCATTTTAATTTGTTATTCTCTCTCTCTCTCTCTCTCTCTCTCTCCCTCCCTTAATCACACTCATTAAACCTCTTTTTGTGACCCAATCATCCAGGTCTACTCAAAACTGACGAGGCGGGTGATTACGGCGAAGCCGTAACTTACGAGGACTTACACCTACTAGTGGTCGACCGGTTAACCCCTGTACGTGACCTAATGCTTACTGCCAGTGCCCAGTATAAAACCCAGGGCCTAACAGTCCCCATCATACTTTACGAGGATGTTATCCGGTTTGCTACCGAAAAGTTACCTTGGTGCGGTCAACAGCTCAAGGCTATTGAAAATAATGACATACGCCATGCCCTAGTGTCCCTGTTCATCGGCGAGATTAACGGTTTTAATTATATGGCCAACCGATTGGCTCGGATTAGGGCCGGTAGGGAACTAGTGGTTACGGGCAGTGAAGGGGAACTGATGGTCAGGTTGAGGGCGTTGGAGGAGAAGATATTTTTGCTGTTGGATCACGTGATTAGTCACGCGAGACACCCGTTTTGGCATGATTTTCATACCCAGGTAATATTTTATAATATAATAGCAAGTATATTGTTTTAATTAATTATTTAAGTACCTATTGTGAAAGTTATTAGGAACTGACATAGCTAAATATCTAGTACTTTGTTATTTTTATTAAATTTATTTTTTGTATTGATTTATCAAGATTAAAACGTTCCTGGCTGATGAATTTCCTAAACTGTACAAGACAATCTCGGACGTGGCTACAAGCGAACTTAGAGAGAAAAATATCCAGCTATTAATTATGGATTTGACACATGTTACTTTGCCACCCCTGTAGTAAATAACTCAAATAAAACTATTATTAATTATACAATTAGTTTTTATTTTATAATAATTTATTTTTGATTTACAGTTTAGGTGAATGTAAAAGAAATAATTTAATTTTAAGATTTTAAAGAATTAACTTTATATTTATAAATTACCTATGAAAGTTTTTGTATTAAGTAAATTATTTTACTCTATGTTTTCAAATCCAAAAAAGTCGATAATTATAAATAAAAATCTTTTTAAACAAATTGTCAAAGGTACTTTGATTGATTGATTATATAAATATAATAAAAAGTCTAATTATTAAAGCACTTTGGCTCACAAAATTGTTTTTGTTGAGTTACTTTATTATGATGTAACCAAGGCCAAAAAATTTCATTTCAAAAAACACTATTTTTAAGTGACCTTGAATTTAATATAAATAATTTTTGAAACTTATCTATGAGATTGCAAATACTATATTTTATTATGTAAATAAATAGAAATTTTTAAATAACTATTTCATAAATGTTTTTTGTTATATAAAATTAAACAAGTTACATTAAACTTCATTATAACAAATAAATTATGTAGTGTTGATATAGCCATTAAAATAGTGTTTATAAAATTAATAACTATTTTACTAAATTTAAATTTTATTGACAGTTTTAAAAGCACTTTAAACATTTTTCTAACTAAACAACAAGTAAATTTTATGAATAAAAGAAATTGTATTATCAAGGTTACCATAAATTATGTTTGCCTCACATTGAACTGCACTGTATATAAAATAAAACTACATTTACTATATAATGGAAAGGGAACTAAAAATTGGCTCCCAGTGCAGGTTGGTCTGTAGACCGCACTTATACTAAACGTAATTAAACTAAAATAACATACCAGTGCACAGTCTACTACATAAATACAAACTAGTAGCGCATGTATGTTTAGATGCAGCTGTGGCAATTTTAAATGCCTATTGCATTGTATGGCTAAACAGTATAAATAACTTTGAATTTTCCAGACATAGTTGGGAGTTGTACTCAGACTGTAAACAAAAAATATTTTTCTTTACTAAATATATTTTTACAGTTTATTTTTAAAATATTTATTAAATATTCTGATTAATAATCAGAAACATGGACTTTTTGAATAAGGTAATTATTGAATTAGCTGGATTTTATAATAAGCATATTTTGAAAACTTTTTTATTTATTTAAAAATGATTAAATTATAATGTAATGTTATAATGTTGAAATTAACATTTAATAGGTTGTATCCAGATTGTTTGGCGCCACAATGGCCTTAATGTCACCATCAGGCAAAGCAATGGTGATGGGCTATTTGATTAACAGTAAGTAATATAACTTGTAAAATTATAAGTTTAAATTTTTAATTATTATATAGTTAATTAAAATAAATTTTACTAAAATATGAACTATATTCACTATATTAATATTTTAATTAATTTAAATAATTAAATAACTAATTTTAGTATACTGTATAAACAAAAAATTATCCATACTTATAATAAAATATAATATAAATTAAAGTTCTAAATAAACTGTAATTTATCACTAAATATAACTATTAGTAATTAATACAGTTACTAAATTACAACCTGGTCATCGTAACGGATGAAAATTTTTACTCTCTCTCTCTCTCTCTCTCTCTAATTTCAAAATAATAAATTAATTTTGCACCTACCTAACCCAGAGCTACCCAAATCTGACATCGCCGCCGACTACGGGGAGGCCGTCACCTACGACGACATGAGCGCCTACGTCGTGGACCTCTTAACCCCCGTTCGTGACCTAATGCGGGAGGCGGAGGTTAATTACAAACACCAGGGCCTAACCGTTCCCATCATATTCTACGAGGACATCATCAGGTTCGCCACTGAAAAACTACCATGGTGCGGTGAACAATTAGTAGCCATCCAGCCCAATGAGCTACGTCACATTCAAGTGTCCTTGTTCATGTCCGAGATCAATGGCATCAATTTTATGGCTCGACGTGTGTCCCGGTTGAGGGTCGGAAAGGAACTGGTGATCACTGGTAGTGAACAGGAACTCATGGGTAGGTTACAGGCGTTGGACTCAAAGATTATTTATATGTTGACTCACGTGATCAATAACGCCCGGCACCCCTTTTGGACTGACTTCCACACTCACGTGAGTTATATAAAATTTGATACTTTTTTAATTGTACTTGTTAATGTGTGAAATTTTGCAATCTAATAGTTAGGTATACTGCAATGCTACTTTTAGTTTGATATACAAATTTTTATTATAATACAAACTGTATTTGTTTTAACTACACACTAATATTTTTAAAAAATAGAATTATAACATACTTAAATGTGATGATCCATGGTGATATTTAATTAATCATTTTTGATAAGTAAATATTTATAATTTAATTTGTTTATATTATCTAGATAAGAGCTTTTCTAAGTGCCGAGTTCCCAAAACTGTACAAGGAGATTAATGCGTTGCCTACCACTGAACTGAGACAGAAAAACATACAGTTGCTAATCATGGATTTGACACACAGCTTATTGCCACCCCTGTAGTTGTGGGGGACATACATTATTTACTCTACTTTTATAAAATATATTTTACTATACTCATATTAATTTGCTATATCTGCTTAGTAGTTATTTTATGCTACTTAACAAATAATTGTAATTGTTGTAGTAAACAAAGTTTTTTATATAACCTTGAACGTGTCATATAAATAAAACAATGACACTTATGTAACAGTAATTTCAATTTTTACTTATGCTTAATATTTTTTTATATAAATAGTATGTTTGATGAGATAATTATTATCCAAACTCTTTTGTTTATATTTCAAAGTCAAAATAATTATATTTTATTAAATGATCATGTTACCAAGGTCATTGAATATTTTATATTAGATATTTTAGATTAAATCTTTACATGACAATCACTTAATTTATTGACTAAAATTTGTATCACATAAATATTATCATTTACCAATAACTATTTATAAAGCTGTATTTTATTAAAATTTTAAAACTGTGTTAAAAATATTATTATTAAAGCATTGGCAAACAAACAATTATATTGGCAAAATAGTATAACAGGCTAAAAAATAATTTAAATATATACTGGTACTCTATGATGTTTTATAATTATATATTTAAATATGTGCATGTTCATTTTATTAGTAAAGTATCAAATGATCTTATCATTATTTATAAGAAAACATTTATTGAACATTTAGTGCATTGCTGACTATGTTGATAATTATGAATTATTAAAGATTATAACCTAGTCACAATTATTGATAATGATTATATTTTTGTATAAATATTTTGAACATAGACATCCTATTTGGTATTATATTAATTTATTAAATATTTGTTAAAAATCAAAATAATAATGAAAACTTTAATATTGTTTATTAACTTGTTAATTTCCACCCATTTTGGTGTGTATAATTGTATTTCTACAAATTTATTAATATGGTACCAAGTTACATTTTAACCCATCATATAGTTTATTGTGACTACATATCAGACACCGATGACTATGAGACACAGTTTTACGACGACCTGACTATCCCTGAACTGAAAGCCTATATAAACAGCAATATCTCGGCTACCGGTGCTCTAATGCGCGAAACTGAGATCACGTACGTGCGGGACAACCGTCAAGTGGTGGCCAACTTTTACGAGGCTATCATAGCATGGGTGGACCGGGAGGTTCCCCTAGCATTCAAATACCTTGATGCTATACAAAATGACACCATTAAGACTCGGGAATATATTGAACTAGCTTATAGTGTAAATATCCGATATAATAGTGGACAGGTAGCTTATAAGGAACGGGCTGGTCACCAATTAAACGTAACTGACACGGCTGATAATTTAGCCAAAGAATTGTTGGACCTTGAGCATAAACTAATAAATGGATTGACCCAAGCTATTGATGTCGAGATACAAAAGAGATTGACGTTTTGGGCTACTTTACATCAAAATGTAAGTCAAACTGTAGTTTAAATATTATATTTATTTTAATCGATAGTAAACTGTAGAAAAATTTATTTAAATTGTTATTCATTAATAATTCATTTTATTTAAATATGTTAATCTTATTAAATATTAAATTATTTTTTAATTGATGTTTGACCTGTCTTATTTTCTAGATAAAAGACTTTCTTGCGCTACAGTTCCCACTACTGGACTCCGGTATCAAACAAATCAAGTCGACTGATGTTAAGGCCAGAAATTTGCAGCAATTAATCAATGACTTGTTGCTGGCTGCTTAGATATTAGATTTGAGTATTATAATGATATTTTAATTAACCACAATAAATTAAATTAAAGATTAATTTTTAAAATTACGTATAACTATTGTACTAATATGAAAAATGTATAGTCAAATTATTTTTAAAGTTTTTATTTAATTTTAATAAAACATTTATTACGTTAATCTTATAAATACATTACAAAATATTATAATATTAATTATACCTTTAATTTATAACTGTGTTTCTACAACAATATTATTTATAATACTAGACTCCCATTGTTTCATAAGTAGCATTATTTTTGATACAATTTTTGATTTTCTATGTATTATAAATATTATGTATATTACACAAAAATTAACAAATATCATATTTATGATATACACAATTACTTTTTCATGATTACTATCTGTTATTAATAAATATAATGTTATATATTCACAAACACAGATGTCAAATACAGAGATGACAACAATGTATTTAATT